GCTTGAAAGCTTTTGAGATTTCTCAATCAAAGCTCGAACCAACAAGCGAATGTGACGAGGTGAGACGCTCTCTGACGCGGGTTCAGTGTGGAGCTGGTCCGACCACTGTGTGCAGGTTGGAGCCGCTTCGCTTCTTCAATCTGTTTCCTTCCCTATCCTTCCTTTCTTTCTCAGTCGCTAGCCATCGCTCACTCCCAGGCAACACCAAGGAACACCAGGCAAGACACTGAGCAAGGTGGAACGCTTGCCATCGCTTACTGCTAGTAACCATTCATTGCTGCTACCTGCCCACAGTCGGAATACTAGGAATCTGGGCAGCAGGTGGTCGGGATATTCCTGAAAGATTTACCCGCCCAGATGGTATCTTGGTCCAAGGGTCCAAATACCATGACACTAGCCCACCCTGAGGGAACGTATACGCAGAGGCTAGAACCTGAAGAGGGGGAAATAACAATCCATCTGAGGCATCAACTCTAGACTCGAGGGTACGGAGCCTCACAAACCTCTCCCACACCTCTATGTGGATTTCAAGAGAGCTACGCTCTCGGTAGTAAACGGGCAGAATTGAAATGCGGGAAAACTGCGGCAAGCAGCGGTAAGGCTGACAGTGGCTATGAAAGCTGAGCAAAGATGTGCGGAAAACGTCCGAAGACAAAAGCAGGGGAAGAGCTACATAAGCAAGAAATGAAGAGAGAAGAGAAAGCCGGGGGTCTATTGATTGCAAGAGGGTCACGAATAACGACGTTGTGACGCCAGGATAGTCCCGAATACGTAAGAAAAACACAAGAAAATGCCCAGCTTAATACGAAAAGAAGAAGAAGCAAAAATGCGCAGAGACAGCGGCGCAGCGAGAGCGGGCTAGAAAGCAAGAGCCAGTGAGTACGGTGCTCCGCGCGCGGTCCAATAAAATGGGGGCGACAAACGGACGTCGGCTGTCGAAGTGGACGCTGAAATATAAAAATGGAAACATATGTGGGTGGACATTGCCAAAGATCAATATTACTCTTGAAAGCCTAACACGGGGGCGTCGACAGTAGGTGTCGTAGGCTACGGGGGTCAACAGCGAAAGAGACAAGCTGCGGGGGAGCAACAATAAGTCGTGCTCGCAGGAGCCCAAAAAAATGTAGCGGAAGAAAAACAATTCGGCTACAGGGGAAATGTAGGCAGCATGGTCGAGCGCAAAATACAAATGTGTAGGCTAAAACTTATAACGCCAGCAGACGGCTGTAAGAACGAGGTGATTAGGGGGCTAGGTGTCCAAAGAGAAACAAAGCTATAGCGTCAGATGCGCAAGAAGTAACGCACACAAAAAAAAAACATATACTGAATATTCAAGCATATTGTCTAGGAGGTACAAACCAATGCCAGGGTCGTAACCAGCCAGGGGCAGATTGCACCGTGGGGAAAAGAGCTGCTGACATGGCGAGGGAATGGATGCAAACAATAAAACAAGTTCAGGCGGTCTCCGGTGTCCAAACGAGGTATTTTTTTTTCACCGGTAAGTGGCTGAGGATGGCGCTGTTGTTGCTGAAGCGGGCGATGTTGTGGCCGAAGTTGGGGCTGTTGTGGCTCCTCTGGATTCGTCGGTGTTCCTCCGGATGCCACGCATGAAGGAGCTGTTGCGATGTACTTGGAGACACCAGGAGCCGCAGACGGCGTGGTGTTCGGAGCTATAGCGGCTGGGGGCGAGGGAGATCTTGATCGGCCCGGGGTCGTCGAGGAAGCGGACGATGTAGAGGTCAGCAGTCGTGGTGTGTCGCGATAATTTGCCCAACCACCAGAGCGCGTCGTTGGCTTTGTACCAGAAGTAGACTCCGACGGGTATGGCGGTGGCACTGAAGCGGCGAATGTAAGTGTCGCGGGGGACGTAGGTGTAGCCGGGTGAAGACGCACGTTCTCCTTTGGCGCGGGATAGTTCTCGAGCAGCGGCTCCTATGCGCATTTTGCGGTAAAGACGGTTTTGCTAGCTGTGCTGATCCGGTGTGCCACACCAGTAGCGAAGGATGTGGTGATGCGAGTGTTGTAGATCGACTTCGCGTTCCCAGGAGGGTCGAAGAAGGTCTTTCCAATGTGTTTGGTAGAGAGCGGCGAGTACGCCGCCGCGTTTGCGGACAGTTTGGTGGCCGGTGATGTTTTCGACTTCAAGGCGTTGAAGGGGCATGGAAACGTCATCCTCGGTAACGTGGTATGGAGGAGATTCGTTGGTGCAATTGTTGAGGACGTATCTCGTGAGGCCTGCAGGCAGGAAGCGGGGTATATCAGTGTCGTGGGCGTGGTGGCACGGCTTGCAGCGTACTACGGACACGCGATTTTTGGCGTCGGCACCGGGCATGTCGTTGGGCAGGTCCAAGTAGAGGAGTCTGTCCTCGATCGGGCGTCCATCTGGTGCTTTGTCGCAGGGGCCTACGGAAAGAATTTTGAAGGGCCCAGTCCAGTTCAAGGAGAGCTTGGCTTTGAAAACCGGCGAATCCGAGGCAGAGGCAGAGGCGGTGGTGGAAGCTCCTTGGCGAATCGTCGACACTTGATTGTAGACCCAGATCCAATGTCCTGTCTTGTAGACGGGTCGGCGGTGAAGTGTATCCGATGGTGACGAGTTCCTGCGCTCGATTTTGTCGACGTTGAGCGCGTGTTGTTCTCGAACGAGGCCGTAAGAGCGACGTTGCCTGTCCACATCGAGGTTATGGTATTCAAGTTGATCCTTAGCCAGGATTTGGTGTCCGCGGGCGTAGATATTGTCGAAAACGGTCATGGGGAAGCGAGCAAGTCGGCCGATGTGCACTTGGTTGGGTGCCAGCCCTGTGGCGGCGCTCACGGTGTTGTTGTAGGCAACTTCCACATGTGGGAGGTGTAGATCCCAGTCATCTTGTCTCTCATTGATGGACACAGCTAGCATTTGAGCCATTGTGTTGTTGACGCGTTCCACGCCGCCGTTGCCGCAAGGGTGATAGGCGCTGATAGTGGTTTTGCGTACGCGGAGAAGTTTGATGATGGCGTCAGAAAGTTGCGAGGTGAAGTGGAGACCATTGTCGGAAAGGAGGCTTACCGGACATCCCCAGAGCGGAATGTATTGATTGACGAAAATATTGACGGTCCCTTCGGCGGTATATTTCGCTGGTGAGACGGCGTACATGTCGGCGCGCCGGCTAAAGTGGTCGGTGAAGAGTAAGATGTAGACGTTGCCGCGTGGAGTAGTAGGGAGCGGTCAAAGTAGTCAACGCTGATTGCAACACCTGGCCCTGAGGGCAGGGGAATGGTGAGGATTGGCCAACGTATAGTTTGTCGTCTGATTTGAGGCCTTGGCACGTTTAGCATTGTCGAGTCCAGAAGCGGGCGCAAGCGCTCATGCCAACCCACCAGTAGAGTTGTTCCAGGAGGTTGATGGTTTTGGCGGTGCCAAGGTGGCACAGAGTGTTGGAGTGGCATTGAAGCATTACCCAAGGACGCATATGTATTGGCACATAAATACGCGCGGGTTCATTGTCGAGAAGGCGAGCAGCTCTACCGCTAGGACGATCGTTGTTGGAGTTTGGCGTTTTGGTAAATCGTCGAACCAGGAGCGGATCGCCGTCGTCATAGGTGATGATGCGACCTTTGGTGGCCAATTCCTTGATGTCGGTGAGGGAGGGACGCAAGTGCTCTGGGGTGTCGCCGTGGAAACCTGGAGGCGATGTTGAAGATTGCCAAAGTTGCATGTAGCGAATGGTGGCGTTGCAAGTGACGTCCTTTTGTTGTTCCTCATACCAGTCGGCGTGTGTGAAGCGCGCTACAGAGTCCATGAAGGACAAATCAGCCGGAGAAGGCAGTGGCGCTGGAACTGACGAAGAAGCTGAAGTGGAGGGGGTCCCTGTGGATAGTGTGTCAGCAGATTCCGGCAGAGGTTCTGCGGGAGGTTCTGAGGGAGCAGTGATATTGGCGGTTGGTACCGTGGGAACAGGTTCCGCTGCGGTCTGTGCAGGTGGCGCAGGAGTTGCGATGCGCGGCCTGCGTGGAGGTATAGCTGGTGCTGGTGCCGCAGTGGGCTGAAGCGGTAAGTTACTTGAGGCAAAGGGTTCCCAGATGTTGCAGCTGCGCGGCGTCGCGTGCGGGTGGAGATCAAATTTGATGGGTCCAAAGAACGCGGGCGCAACCGAGAAGGAGAGAGAGGCCGCTGAAGTGCAGGTGCTTCCAGGATGTCTGATCTGGAGCGAGCTGCAGTTGCAGGGGGCATTGTCGAACTGGCAGGTTGTGCCGGAGATTGAGCGGTAGACTGTAGTGTGCCGGGATGGTGTCGAAGATTTGAGGACGGAGGACGTGCGGTGGTAGGGTAATTGGTATGTTGGTCCAAGTGTCGGGGCGAAGTCGATTGATCAACTGTGTTGATGTCGCGCAACGCAGGAGAGTGGTGAGAGTGGAGACGTGAATTGTTGTTGGAGACGGACGGAAAAGCACGAGCTGCGAATACTCCGGGAGGAGCGTCGAGGTCGTCAATGCTCATCCGGAGCCCGTGCCGGCGAAAATGCTGGAAATCCGCCGACGTCAGCGGGGAGCCACTCAAAGTGTCGGTGCCATTGTTGGGTACTAGCCCACCCAAAGCAATATCCTGTGGAGAAGGACCAGAAGGAATGTTGCCGGTGGCGCGAATCATGTAGACACCCACATCATCTGGCATGGTGATGCGGCTATATCCTGTGATGTCCTGTGAACTGGGGGGTATGGGCAGTCTAGACAGCATGTCGACGTTGCTGTTGGAGGAGCCCGGGCGGTGTTTCAGCGTGTATTGATACGCTGTGAGGAACTCAAGCCAACGCTGCACGCGTGGGCTGTGGTCTCCCACCTTGGAGATGTTCTCCAGAGCTTGATTGTCGGTCTAAATTTGGAAGTGTGTGCCGCGCAAGTATCCACGCAAGCGTTTAATGGCCCAAACGATGGCGCCAGCTTCCAAGTCGAGTGGTGTCCAGTTACGCTCAGCGTCAAGTGTCGATCTGCTGATGAAGACGATGGGGCGAACAGAGCCATCCGCCTGTTCTTGTTTTAGTGTCGCGCCCAGACCACCGAGGCTGGCATCGCAGTGGAGGCGGAGAGGTCTGGTGCCGTCTTCGATGGCTTTCCAGTCGGGGAAGACGATAATTAGCGGCTCGGAGAGTTCTTTGAGGATCTCTCGGACGATAGCCTCCATGTCGGAAGTGAAGGTGAAGGACGAGTTTTTCTTGAGGAATGCCGTGACGAAGCTGCGGTAGTAGCTCAGACCACCGAGAAGAGAGCAAAGTTTCTTGAGGTCGGTTGGCACTGGCATTGCCGCGAGCGCGGCTACTTTGTTGGCGTTGGGCCTGATATCGTCGGGAGTAATGGTGTGTCCCAAGAATGCAGAGTGTGTCGTGCCAATGGTGGCCTTAGGCGGTGAAAGCTTGAGCTTGTGCTTGGGCAGCCGTTGTAGGAAGGCGCGCATGGTGCGGATGTGATCCGCCGGTGTCTTGTCGTAGAGCACCACATCGTCGAGATATGGGTCAACGCCTTCGAGGTTTTTGATAACCTCATTGATGACCTTCATCCACCGGCCTGAAGATTGGCTGGCACCCATTGGCATTTTGAGCCACTCGAAAAGGCAAGTCGGTGTGGCGAATGCAGTGAGCGGAATCGTGTCGGGGTGCACGGGAATTTGGTGGAAGGAGCCCGTGAAGTCGAAGAGCGAGAATATGGAGCCCTGGTGCAGTTTGTTCATGATCTCATCAACACGAGGAACAGGTAGTTGACTGAAGCTGCTGATGCGGTTGAGTTTCTGGTAGTTGACGGTGATGCGAAGCTCTCCAGATTGTTTTGGAATGACGACGATGGGGCTGCAGTACGGAGAAGTGGAGTGTTGGATTAAACCTGCCGCGAGGTATTTGTCCAAAGTGGCGTCCACTTGTTTGGCGACCAGAGGGTTCATGCAGTATGGCTTGGTTCGCACCGGTGGGGTGCCGTCCGGAATGTCGATTTTGAATGGTAGCAATGGGCAGCAGCCCAGGTCCGTGGGTGAAGTGGAGAAGAAGTCTCGGAAGTTGTGTAAGACATGCTCATCTATGACAGCAGGCGTCCAGCCTTCGCCGTGTAGATTGAACATCATGGCTCGCATGTGCGGTGGTAGGCGGTCCCAAAGAGATAGGAAGATTTTCTGTTGAGCGGCATCCAAGCGCTCCAGAAGCTCCTGTGGAGGAAGTGTCGGTGGGGACAAATTGTCGGAAGGGGGGGAGGAGTGCTGTGCAGGTTCCCCGTTGTTGTCGGAAGGTACATTGCCGATGAAGGGAGCATCGCGGTGTGCTGCATCGGCAGAGTGTGATGGCCCTAGCACTTCGAAGTGCTTTGACGGCTGCTTGTCGCTGAATTGTTGAATAGTGTTGATAGATACACGCATGAGAGGGGCGGCTGCTGTACCTAAAATGTCGCCCGGTTCAAGCTCTGCGCATCCTGCGAGAGGTAGAAATTGGCGGCAGTGAGAGATGAAGAGTTCGTCTGAAGGAGACAAATCTGGAATAGTGTCTACCAGGTAGTGTCCTTTGAGAGCAGGATATCCATTGGCGCGGACGAGGTTGACTTCGATCAATTGGTGATTTGAGGAGAGGGATAATCCAGATTTTCCAGCGTAGTTGAGGTGGAATCTTCCTGGAACTGCAGAGGGATCTGGAATGTAGGCTGAGGCGCCGCGGGCTTGGTGGTGAGAGAAAGCATATTTTCCCAGCACGCGTTGGGTTGGAGAACGCGTAGGTAGCACGGTGTAGGTGCGGGTGGTGTAGCGCATGAAGCTGTCGCGTCCTAGTAGAACTGACTGTTGCATGGTGTTGGCTGGAACTACATGAGCCCAGACGGCGAGTGAAGCAGGGGGTTGGTCCTTGTGATAGAATTGAACACTAAGACGTACCATCTGAATAGTGACGAGTGGTTGAGAGCTACCGAATCCTCCCCAAGAGCGAGTGTTGTTGGTGGCGACGCAGTCTTGTGTCGCACATCCTGTGGCTCGCATGTTGCCGAGAGCATTGCGGTTGACGAACGTGGCTGGAGAGCCGGAGTCCAGGAGAGCGCCGCAGCGGTAACCTGAGGTTGCGGAACCTGAGTGTATGCGCACTTTGGTGGATTGTGAAGCGTCGTCAACGGTTACAATACCGTCAACGAGACCTGGTCCGTGTTCAGCAAGTACTTTGGGGTGATTGTCGACGTGGAAATTGGCGGCCGCAACGTGGAGAATGTCGTTGTCGTAGTCGGAAGGCGCGTCAGAGGGCCAAAGAGCGTTGATGTCGGTTGGCTGTGAACGTGACTCTGAAGGTGGATTGATGGGTTGCTGAGTGTCGGTGTTGATCTCGTGAATGCCTTTATTGTCGAGTGCTGAGTCGGTGGGGTTTTCCAGGGGTGGCATCGGGAGTGATGCAGATGAGCGAAGCAAGTCTCGAACCGATTGAAGTGCCTTACCAAGTAAATTTTTTCCTGTCCAGTTGGAGGAGTTGGCGGCCTCGGGGTGATCGGCTCTCATGCCGATGCCCCATGTATTGTCGAAAGGGCTGGCTTCGGCTAAAATGCGTGTGCCTGTGTTGAGAAGTTATTGACGCATGGCAGGATTTCGGGAGAATTTCTCGAAAGTGCCCACAAGCACGATGTATTCTCTCACCTTTTCCCATTCCTGTTGCGTGAAGCCACGCACTTGTCGTCCGTAGCGCTTGTGCATTGCTGGGTCTAACGAAAGCATGATGTTGTGAAGCATATCTTTGTCACCGAAGTGTCGTGCCTTGGATGCTGCGAAGAAGTGTTCGGCACAGGAGTTTTCCACTCCATCGACCGAAAATGTCGAAGATGTCCATTGCGAAAAAATAGAGGGCGGTTGGTTGCCAGAAAATAATGACGTTATTATTGACGTACTCTCGTGTGGCATCAAAGGCAGTGTCGTGAGGCTGTCGGTGATTTCGAGAGCTCTGAGGAGAGTGCTTGTATTATCGTGGCTCAGTTGATGGCGCTGTTACAGGCGCTGAATCAAGTGCCCGACAATCGGAGGTCCGCTGGCTCCGAGTGTCGTCATCGCTTGGAGTAGACGTCCCTGGTAGTAGTCGATTGAGTCGAGTAGAAGCAGGTGGCTCTGGTCTAGTCCACCCTGACGGGGGGCGCGAGCTTCCCATTATTTTAGCGGGGTTCTGTCCAAAGCGTCCTTCGGAGAGTGTGGGGTCAGCACCTTCGCGAACTCTGGGTAAACACAGTAGAACAAGCGGTAGCGGCGGCGTAATTGTTGGAGGTCGCTGTACATCTTGTGAAGAGCTTGGTCCATGCACCGGTTCGATAATTGTCCAAAGTGTTGCACTGCCGGTAGGGCAGTCAAGGCAAAGCCCTTGATTGTCGCGGAAGGCTTGTTCGGGTTCGTGTCGTGATACTAGTGGCGTCCAAAGTGATGGCAGTTTTCTGGATGTGGAACTCTCAGAAAACTGGAAGACCGTGTTCCAGTGGTCATCGCTAGCTAAAGGCCACGCATTGTAGTGTTGATCAAAACATCCGAGTGCGAGTTGGATCGAACATTCATGACGATGGGGTTGCGTGATGAGCCTGAGGCAAACGATTGTTGTTGAGAGGAGGAGCGGTTGCTCGACCGGTGCCCTTGCGATGGAGTTGAAGGGAAAAATTCTCAAAAGCAGCAGACACAGCACCATGGCCTTGACTGTTCACAGCTGCAGTCTTGTTTGACGAAAAATTGTCGAATGCCACCCACATATCATTCAGTGTCGCATATGGCGAAACAGCATTTGCTAAGCTACCCGGAAAGCAGCTAGTCATCATACTCGGAAATTGATCGTTGATCTTGTTCCGTGTAACTTCAATTGCCCAGCATGCATCTGGTGCCAACAAACTGGAGTAGGTGGTGACGTTAGATACAGCTTCTCGGTACTGCTGCAAGAACTTGGCAAACGTCGTGCCGTTGGGCACTTTGTAGTCATGCAGCTGCGAGAATGTGGCGCCGCGGTCTTGTTCGCCAAATTGCTCTGCTATGAGTCGTAGTAGGAGCTTGAAGGCTTCGCCTCCGCTCATACCTTGCTTGAGCTGAATCTCTACCTGTGCAAAGAATCCGTTGATGACCGAGTAGAGATCAGCGGATTGGGGGGAAGTTGACGAAATGACGTTGGTGAGTGCCCTCTGGATGGGGCGTTGCCAGCCCGGTACCCAAGTGTCGGAATCGTCGAAGTTGACGAGTAGGTCAGCTTGCAGCAGTATGTCGTGCATTGCTCTTTTGGTGGACTCCAGGAGTTGGCCTAAAGCGTTGGTACCAGCACGGCCTGTAGCTAAAGGAAGCTGCGGCCTAATCTGTTCGACGTGTTTGAGGTCGATAGTGGCGCACTTAGCGGCGATGGATCGAATTCGCGCTTCTCTACCTTGGCGGCTCGTTCGTCGATGGAATTGTGGCGTTGTACTGCTATCGAGGAGGAGATGGGCAAGCTGTTGTGGGGCAAAAGAGCGCTATTGGATTGTGCTACAGCAGCCAGTGGAGGGACTACATGCCCGTTATTGTCGTTGTCGATAGAGTCGGGGGTGCCGAAGTCGAATAAGTCTTTGTCGTACAGATGGCCCTGGCTCTCGAGAGGAACGAGTGCCCTGGAAGGGGAGGGTTATCGCTTTTGAAGATGTGGCTTGTCGAGATGGTCCTCGTGAGGGTGTGTTTGGCGTCGGGATGATGGTTCCTTGCTGCCACCTTGTTGTTCTTCGTGCCCTTGCGAGCGTTGACGGTTGCCGTGGGAGCGCGGTGAGGGGCGGTGGTCTGACCCGTGGTTCCGTTTGGAGCCACGGCCTCCGCTGTAGTCGGAGCTATCCGATGCCCAGTTGCGTCCGCGGTGTTTGATTGTTGACCTCTGCTTACCGTGCGGTGTACGGTTGCCACCGGACCTGGAGGAGTGGCGGCCTTTGTTGCTCTTTCGTGTCGGATACTGTCCACCAAACTGCTGTGGCGCCGGCTTCTCAGAGTAGTCAATTGTCGTGTTGGAGCGATTGCGGAAGGCGGCAGCTGCGGTGTCGACAAAGTTGGCGAGGGAGTTAGCGACGGCTACGGTGGCGGTGGTGGAGATGCCGTTGTCCTTGTTGTGATCGACAGAAGACCATGCGTGGGAGCAGTCTGCGGTCTCCCCCATGTGGTTCGGTAAAGTGTCGAGGAGGTCACGAGCGGCTGTTTGCACTCTGTCTCGCACAGGTAGACAAATGGCTAGGGTCAAAATCCTCTAGAGGATAGGTGAAACGGCAATCCTCAGAGGATTGCCCAAAAAAGCGGAAGCTCTGATTTGGTAAAAAGGTTATCCCCCCAGAGGAAACCCTCACCCAAAGCCCTGGAGGATCACTGTTCGAAATCCTCTGGAGGATCGTTGGAAGAAATACTCCACGGGGAATACATTATAACTTCCTCCAGAGGATTTAGGAAGGTGATCCTCCAGAGTTTTGGGTGAGGGGTTTCCTCTGGGGAGGATCACGTTTTTACCAAATCAGAGGATCCGCTTTCTTGGGCAATCCTCTGAGGATTGCGGTTTGGATTCCAAAGAAAAACTCCAGAGGAATAGCCAGAGAACTTCCTCGGGAGGGAGTGGGGGACAATATATCCCCCGGAGCATGTGGTGCGTTTCTTCCAGTGGAGACTGCTGGGAAACATGCACCTTCTGCTGTTCATGTCACTTTTGTCGCTCTCTTATAATATTCTCTGAGGGGGGTGTACAACTTACGCCCGTTGCATAGATATATTCGAATTGATCGCTTAGAAGCAACACACACCAGGTTAAGGGCCGTTTTAAACGAACCAATAATGTTTCAAATTTCCGCTCCAAAGATTTGGAACCAAGAGGCGGCACGTTTCGACTGTACAGAAAAACAAAAGCTCAAGCATCGACAAGTTACTACGGCCTTCGACGTTGAAACAGGGCAACTTTCCAAATCTCTTTACCAAATCACGAACATCTTACGACTTAGTACGGAATAGGTGCATCCCCGTGACGAAAACAAGGACGAAACAATTGAGAACCACCGAAGCACACGGCTGCCTATATACGCACGTGCTCAAAGAGAAGCACAGTGCCTTATCAACAAAAAAACAAACCGAAATCTCTAGACCAAAGCACTACACTTCGTTGCGTATCACCTCGCCCAACGGTATGTCGCCAAGTCAAAGACTATCCCCATCAACTTGGAAACAAAAAACACACAAACATGCGTGGGTAACAAGTGTGCGGGGTACATCCCCGCAACGGAAAACTGACGAACGAAGAAAAACGACTGTCTATGAACGTGCCTGAGAGAATCTGCCAATGAAAACGACATCCCGCCCCTACACCAGGGCAAAGTAGTATCTCGTTGGCCGTCGCACCGTCAGCATTCATTCCTCAATAGACAAGTCGAAAGACGTCCCCGTTAACTGCTGTAAGAACCGAACTGCAAATAGGTGCATGGGAACGTACACGGCGTTGCTGAAAACATCACTAGACACGTACGGGCATAGTTCTGAGTCTGAGTCCGAGAAGCTTTGATGAAAGAAAAAACATCATCCTGAGTCAAACAGGCAACATAATAGAATACGAAAGTTCCCCACGGACAAACTACCAACATGTGCCAGAAAATTCCGAAGTCCAAAACCAAAACTGCTATCGTCTTCAACCATGTCCGAACAAAAACAAAACGCGATACGAACTCTCAAATCTTGCCGACTGTCAAGCGACAAGTATACTAGGGCCGTGACGCATCATCGGCGAAGCCTCCAAGACTCGACCCTTGGCAGAATGCTGAATATTGACAAGCCTCTGCTTTGATAGCAAAACCGTGCCCGAAACGCACCCTCGCAGCATCGCAAATGCACCGGAAAGGCACAATTCTTCACCGATATGCGTTCGCGCGACAGCCCCAAAGTCTCGGTACAACACACGGTCGGCCATAACAGAAACATTTTGCAGGCCACCTCCTATGCATATGCGGGAACAGCGGGTGCAGCAGATATTAAGCTTGAGAACCGGCTACCTCATCACACCAATACAACACAACAGGGGGGGGAGGGGGGATAGTCGTGCATGCCGTAGTCGTTAGACCATTGACCTCACATCCCTACAAAGCCGGGACGGAGCACGCCGGGTTCTCACCGGACCAGGCTCTCCCATCACCACGCGCAAAACACAACAGGGGGGACGAATAAAGTAGCCACAAGTATTCACAAAAAACGAAGCAACCAGCAAGGTTCCCTGTGGATTCCTACACCCCAACCTTCAAATGTCAAAAAGCAACAACACAGCTCCCCACTCAACCACCCCCGAGCCTCTGTTTGACCATCTTCCGAGCCTCCGCTTCATTGGTTGCCCGTGGTCTTGGTTGCCCACTCCAGTCCTCTCCTGCTCCCTTGTATACAACTCTCCTCGCCACCGCTATCGCGTGATAGTCCAATTCTAACAACGACGTCCGACGGGGGGCGGGGCGGGATAGAGAGAGACAGATTGCGCTGTAAGAGATGGTTGATCGCGTGTAGCGAGAAATCACTAAATTTAGGTGCTTCCTCCCAAAGATAGGAGCCGCCAAGACTGACGTGCGTATTGCAGCCGGTTAGTGGGTTGCCCCGATGATACTTTTCAACACACAAGGTATTCCCCCGTGGAAAACAGTTTTTTTTCCCCATCGCACACCGCTGGAGAACTGAGTGCTGCAGAACTCCCTCAATGACAAAAATGCAATCACGTGTCGGTCTCGGTCCTCGCCACTAGGGTATGATACTCGTTGTCATTCAGAGTCACGAGATAATTACATCCTACATACAAGCCATCACAAATCATACATAGCACTATCACAAACCAACGAAACAACATTAACATTCACCTGCCCGTCCCCGTCCTCTCTAAGAGTGTAGCTCTCCTCCACCCTGTTGGCGCTGCCTCGTCTGCT